GATAAACGCTTCCATGTCGACGTACTTCACCTTCCGCTCTTTGTCTTTCTTCGATCTTCTAGGACACGAAGAAATGAACTTCACGTCATCGGCGAACGTCACATTACGCTTTATCTCTTTTCGGGTCGACGTAGTCGTTCCCGAGGATTCGTCATCTGTTGAACAATCCGAATCAGCGTCGCTGTCAACGGATGGACAATCTGACTCCTCCTCATCTTGTCTTGAAGATCGCTTCCATATAGCCGGAGCTGATGGATTCCACCTTCGACACAATCTGATGGCGGGTGCCGCAGGGAGTGCCTTGGCCTTGGCATTCGGCTTCGCTGGAGCTGCCTTCGCTTCGGATTTAGCTTTAGCTTTTGCCTTTGGTTCCGGAGCTGGGGTAGCTGCTGCCTCATGCTTGAAAGGACAATTCTCTCTTGAGCACGAGCCTGTGTTCTTGAACGAGTAGCATATCCTGTTTCCTCCTCCTCCAGATGGACTTGGAGTTCTCGTCCTCGGCGTGAAGGGTCGCTCTGGAGTCTTCTTCGAGTGACTGAATGGACACTTATCACCATTTCGACACCCTGCATCTGTGAAATGGAACTTGCAGCGGATTTGCTTCTTGCTTTTGTCACCTCTGTTGTCCGCTGACTCACTCCTCGTCTTCTTCTTGGGCTTTGGCTTGGTCTTCGCATGACTCTTCGCTTTGCTTTGAGGTAGTACAGGTGTTGCTTTATCCGGCTTGGTCGGCGAAGCCTTGACCTTTGCGGATGGAGCTGCGTTAGGCGTTGGTTTCTCGGGTACCTTGGCCGGTGCAGCAAGCAAATCCTTGCCCTCAAGCATCTGGCGCAAGCCAATTTGGGTCTGAGTGAGATTTGACTGTTCTCGTCTCCGCATGATAGTACGGTCAATGATCTTCATCAGGTTGTCGTACGATCGGTCTTCATGATTGTAGGGCAAGTGTTCGTAATGCATGCCCAACTCCATCTTCATTGCGGGCGAGTCCTTGATCTTGCTGTACAAGCAATCACGGAGAGCTGTTTTGGATGGAATGTCCTCTGGTCTCATCCGTCCCAGAACTTCCAACCACGTCTGCTTGAACGTATGAAGCTTGTTGTCGCCTTGGTACTGGAGCTTCACCAAATACTCAAGAGTGATGATCATGTCGAGACGATCGTGCGTTCGAAAACTTTCATACATCATCGCAATGATTTGTCGTCCTTTGATGATCTTCCCGTCGGGCCTGCTGATGTAATCGTTAGCCTTCCGGTTCACCTCAAGGTACAGGTCAGCTGATTTGTCACCACCGGCACGTAGCATTGCGACCATGGCGATCCCCAATTTGACGTCTATGCTCTTGAACTTCTTGTGTCCTGAATCATTCAATGCTTCGACATCAGGGAATGGGTTGAACGCTGGTGCCAGCCATAACATCCAGTCCTCATGATGTGGGTCGGCTGATGCTCCTAAGACATTGGCCGTGCACACGGATCGCCAGTTGTTGAGATGAGTGAGAGTAGGCCATGGAGGAACGGTCACTTTGTCGGCTTCCCTCCTGGAAATTCTCACCTCTGTGACTTCAGGATCCGCGTCTCCATCAGGATCACGCGCATGCGAGCCAGGATCCGATTCAGGTTTGCCTCCACCGCTTTTCTTCTTATCATCATCATCGTCAGGCGGGTCAGGAGGGTCATACCCCGTGCCGGTTCCTTCATCGTGCTCTCCATCTTCGTTCTCGTCGCCAGCCTCGTCACCGTCATCGTCTCCATTATCCTCCTGAATCGTTTCAGCGAATAACTTCCACTCATCACGATCAGCTCTGAGACGTTGTTCGGCTTTCTGGGCCTTGAGTACTTCGCTTCGCAGATCGGCAATCTTCTCCTCGTACCGTTCCGCGACCTCTTTCTCGATCTGACGTCTCCTTGCTTCATGAATGGAATCGTCATAGGCAATAGGGGGACCGATGAGGTCGTTGCCCTTCGTAGATGCGGTGATACCGTCGACACCAACAGGTCTTGAGGAGCTGGCAGATGCTGTGGACTTCGATCCCAACATCCCGCGATCCTCCAAGAGTTCGCGTAGCTGTCGATCACGCACGGCTGCCGCATCACTTTTCCCATGAAATCCGCTTGGTATGCCAAAAAGAGTGGCTGCACTAGGCGTGGAACGCGCAAGTGCTGGATTGCTAATACCTGGCACGTAGTGCTCGGGCATTGCATCCGCCACAATTGGCGTTGAATTGCGGCCAGTGAAGAAGTTTCCACCGGTAAATGGAATTCCATCCATCGCAAGGATCTTGTCCTTGTCGGATTCCGAGAATGCGAACTTCTCTTTGGCGACTGGACTAACTTGACTTGGGGAACGTATTTCAGGGGATCGTACCTCACCTCCTACGGAAAATGCAGGCACTACTTCCTTTCCTATATGCTCCCAGCCAGACTCAGTAGTCCTCGAAGACATGGGCATGCTCGAAGGCCGCGTCGCTCCACCATAGTTGGAGTTCCGCGCTGCCTCCAATTCGCTGCGTGTCCTCGCTTGAAGATCTTCTTGTGCTTTGAGCGTTTTCCTGAGTTCACTCAGCTCGTCGTGCAAGGTAGGCAATGCTCGCCTTGCATGATCTTCATTCTGATGAAGTCGGTCCTCTGCTTCTTGCATCCTCTTCACAGCCATTTTGCGGTACTCTTCCTCTTCACCAAGACGTTCGCGAAGCCGAAATCGTTCTTGATCAATGGCTGCGCTGTTTCCAGCTAGCCCTTGGATCTCGTTCACGGCCCGCAACTCCTGGTTCTTGACCAAGTGGAATCGTTCCTGCATTGCTTGTAAGGCTTGTTCCGAACTTGCTGTGTTTGACCGGAGGACCAAGTTCTCTCTGGCATGTTCATGAAGTTCATGAGTCAGACGCTCATACTCACGTGCCATAAGCTCACCATCGCCTTGCGCTCTTGCCTCCAACTGCACGAAGTTGGTGGCTGCTTCTGTGCGAAACACATGTAGCTGCTGAGCCAATTCCTCGGCAACGGCGTGTGCCTGACGTTGTTGAGCAGAGTTCTGTTCATCCATGCGAAACAAAGCTGCTTCATAGTCTCGCTTCATCTCCTGATTGACATTGTTGATGTGCCTCATGGCTAAGCATGCATGGTCACGTTGTCGTTCCAATTCTTCAATGCGAATTCCAGATCCTTCATCTTCTTGTTGCATCTCCTTGATCTTGTCCATCAGGGTCTGGACGACTCCTTCGTATTCTTGCACCTGACTGCGATAGTACATCTGCTGTGCAAGGTTCGATGCTTCGAACTGTTGCGAAATCGTCAGCTCCTGATAAGCGTTCGGACCATCAGCTATGGCAGGCGTGGCCACGGACGACGCATCACCACGTGCAGGAATCGTATCCAGAGTCATATCCAGATCGTCAGCATCGCGTGGTTGATTGGTAACCATCCGATTCCACGTCATGGACTTGTCACGCCCACGAGTGGCTGAGGTCCTCGATCGTGCTGAAGAGCTTCTCGAAGATGATGGTCTTGACTTCTTTTCCAAGGTCTTGACTCCTTTGTCCTTGGCCCTGGACGTAGTCCGAGGTGCCTGAAAACCAGACGCTTCGGCCCGTCGTTCTGAAGCCTTGCCCGTCCTCGAACCTGTGGATGTCGGACGCGAAGGCGTAGATGCTCTTGGTAGACTCTTTGCTTTCCCCTTGGGAACTGCCTTTGCAATGGCAAGCGCAGAAGATTGACCTTTGTCATCTTCCGTGGAGCTATCAACGGATTGCACCACTGTGTCATCAGCTGTTGACTCACCAACGGCTGGCGCTGCCACATCGGCACCGAAAGTCATTGTCGTATCTTGGCTTGATCCCGAGTTCATTGTGGTCGTAGTAGATCAAGTAGTCGTTGCTGTAGAAAGGCAGAGCCGCGTACGGCTGATAACCTGCGTGGGGGATTGATCTCGACTTGGTTGCTGCTCTCCCCACCAGAGCTGTAATGAATGTAGGTGTGGCTGGCTTGCACTCTCCACAGACTGGACCCTGTCTCTCCCTCTTACTTCCACACGTGCAATCCTATGCAGGCAGAACCGGCGGCCGTTCCTTTTGCACTCACTGCCGGCGGCGGTTCGTCTGTGCAACGGGATAGCTCTGATTGCTCAGGATAGAAGACACATATAGCACTTAGCTATGGGCATTGACTTGAGCCAAACGTTGCGTTGGCGGTCACATAGAAAGGTAAAGATGAGGGATGCGTAGCATGCCCCCCTTAGAGTCGAGGGACGCGTAGCGTGCCCCCTTCTCTTGCACTTTACACGGTCTTGCTCACAGCTCTTATAGTGACACCTTAGAACTTGACAAGGCATCGCAGTCCGTTCGCATAAATCATAGTAGGATCCTTTATATGATTTAAGGAATATTCCTTAATTAAGGGATATTGGAGTCTCTGGGAACAGCGATACTGAGATCGAAAAGCACAACTTGAAAGTCCCTACAACCCCTGAAGCCATGACTGGCTGAACCAAAGTCTCCAAATCCGTTACACCGTGCACTAAAGCCCTCAACCCTCAACTCCCGTTTGGCATTGGATTCCAGACCCTACTTAGAGGATCATGGGACTTAGTAACTAGGGTTACAAGCACGGTAACTATACTTATAACTACTTATAACCCCAGTTAAGGTACTTATAGCCTTGCTTACTAAGTCCCATGATCCTCCAAGTACAACCCTTGAAGAAGCGCGAGACCAAGGACCCGAGAGCCCTTACACCCCACCCTATAACCCTGCGATGCTGAGGCCCTGAAGCTAACAAAGAAGCCTGAACAAGGCTAAGATCGTTCCTTAGGGTCTGGTAGTATACTAGTTACAAGTTTGAAACTAGCATCAAACCCAAACTCCATTCTAAATAGGGCGGCCTTATAGGAACCCTTAAAAAGCACCTCGAAAGGAACCCTAAAACCTGTTTTAATGCCTGAAGCCCCAAACCCTTAGGAACTTGGAACACTTATTACTATAGAGCTATTCTAACTCACCGAGCCGCATCGGCAATGATGTGCGGGTTGAGCTTGTGCAGATGCAAAGAGGGCGGCATGCAGCCCATGGCCTTCGAGGAGTCACATTTAGGGTCTTTTGGGTCTTAGGGCTTCAAGGTCTTTGGGGTCTTTGGGTTTCAAAATCCAATGTCTTTATGGGTCACTTTAGGGTCTGAGGGCTTTAGGGTCTTTAGGTTTAAGGGCTGAGGGACCTAGAGGAGGGATTTTACAAGGCTCCGGACTGTCGGCTCCAGATCCCAGGGTCTTAAAGCGGCCTTCCACACCGATGGCGGCTGGGGTTTAGGGTTTAGGGCTTAGGGTTTAGGGTTTAAGGCTTAGGGTTTAGGGCTTAGGGTTTAGGGCTTAGGGTGTTTAGGGTTTAGGGGTTAGGGTTTAGGGGTTCAGGGCTTAGGGATGTAGGTGAGATCTTTTTCGGCTTTAGCTAGAGCGAAGGTCTCAGGGTCTCCGGGACTTGGGGCTTTCGCCGTGGGCTTGAGGGAGTTTCCGAAAATAGGGGACCCTAGGGCTCCTTTTAAAGGGCTCCTTAAAGGGATCTATAAGGGCTCTATACTTCTATAAAGGGTTTAGGGATTAGGGTCGAGGGAGTTTCCGAAAATAGGGACCCAAATAAAGTAGCCTAAATAGTAGGATCCTCATTATAAGGATCCCCCAAAATAAGGTACCCCTAATTTTCGGAAACTCCCAAATGGGGCAAAGGTGTGAGGTTTTAGGGGTTTGGGGTTCAATGGTTTAGGGGCTTAGGGTTTAATGGTTTAGGGGTTTCAGGGTTTAGGGTTTATATTTATAAGTCTAAATTTATCCGCCCCAATCATGAAACGACACATGGTCAATCATATTACAAGCTTTGAACACAGCGTTCGGGGGCCTCTATGCTGTTTCGGTGGCCGCCGCCGCTGTGGCGTATCAACTTAGGGCTATGGGGACCTTCAGGCGTAATCAGCCATTAGTAATAAGTGAAGTACCTACAACTATACGCCCCTATAGCAGTGGTTACGACCCTTACAAAGCACGGACTGCACGATCTTTAGCCAGGTAGCGAAAGGCGTAATGTCCCAACTGGGAATGGAAGTATGTGAGCGACAGTGAGAAAGTGTTCGGCTCGGGGGGGAGGGGTTTAAGTCGCCCGGTTCAGGGTTCCGGGTTTGGAAATTAAAACTTCAGTCGTCTGTTTAGCGGCGCCTGGCCCACAATCACTCGCAGAAGGGCTGCCACGCCGGCAGCAGGTCGCATGTGTCCTCGAATGCATTAATCTCCACAAAAAAAACATCATGCAAGACCTCTACTTGCCCCCGATAGTTTTCAGATCCCCTTGCAACCTACTTACAATATGAGGTCTATTTGTGAGAGCCAACATAAGATGCTAAACACAGGGATCGAAGATTTTGCATTTTCCGATTTAATTCGACTAGATCGGCTGAGAACAAAGACTGCCCCGAAAGCTGGAGTCTTTAACCACAGCCTAAAGTTTAGGATCCTTTCGCGAAATGACGCTTAGCAGCCTGTTTCCCCAGTGCGCCAGCCCAAATCCCAAAAAGAGCCTCACACCCTGAACCCCAAACCAACCAAGTAAGGAACTCCTACACATACCCCGCGAAACCTATACAGAACCGGACATAAACCTCCTGCACACCTACAGAATGCGAAAGGCCCCACCGAAGCGCGACCAGCCCCTTCCCCGGTCCGAAACGAAACCTTAAATTTCCTGAACGCTACATTCCGAAACACCTAAAGCTTGTAAAACGCTACATAAAACCCATGGGACCTGTCTGAACTCCTTCTACTTCCCTGGCAACCCTTCGAGCACTTGTATGGAACACTCAAGAAGCCTTTGAGGAGCCCGAACACATCTTCACAGAATCCTTGGCAAGCGTCTGAAGGAATTAAAGAAGCCCATTCAACGCGTAGTAGACTTAGAACCCTCAACAGCCACCTAACGCAAGCCTTCCAAGCTCTGCACAGCCTCTTAAATCCATCCTATACAGCCCTCTAGTAGCCCTTATAGAACCCCTAAACCCTAAACCCCTAGAGCCCTAAAGCCCTAACACCCTAAACCCCGAGAGCCCTCAAACCCTAAACCCCTAGAACCCTAAACCCCTCAACCCCCCTAAACCCTAAACCCCGAAGCCCCGTAGATTCCTAAAGCCCCGAAGACAGATGCCACTGCCGGGGCGCCATAGTTGCTCTTGCCCGAGAGCAGCCCAAGCACTTCTTCCTCGTCGTTGTCCTGGACGAGGCTACTTAAAGAGTCAGGGTGTAGGGGTTAGGGTTTAGGGGGTTTAGGGTTTAGGGTTTCGGGGTTTAGGGTTGAGGGTTTACCGTTGAGGATTTAGGGTTTAGGGCTTGGGATTTGGGGTTTAGGATTTAGGGTCTAGGGTTATAGATATCAAGTACTTGTAACCCCAATGGATGCCTAAGGATTCTCAAGCGCGGCCGGCGATGGTCAAGGTTTCGGGCCTAAGTGCTTAGGGTTTTGTTCTGCTCACGGAATGGGGTTCAGGGTTGGGTTTCAAAACCCTAAACCCTAAACCCTGAACCCTAAACCCTAAACCCTAAACCCTAAACCCTGAACCCTAAACCCTAAACCCTAAACCCTAAACCGTTTTAGGTCTGGAGTTCATCGCTTGGGTTTACTCTTTGGAGGTCGGGCCGAGGGTTAAAGAATCATAGGGAGCCTTAGGGGTGTAGGGGGAGGGGGGGTAGGGGGCCTTAAGGCCCATAATAAGGACTAATATGGCCTATTTAAGGAAATATAGTCCCCTACACCCCTCCCCCCTACACCCCTAAGGATCCCTATGAAAGAAGCAGGCTCTTGGTGCTTTGGTCATCGGCAGCGGTGTTGCTCATCCCTACACCCCTAAACCTAAACCCTAAACCGGAATAGGGAAGTAGGCTACCAGGGTGTCTTCAGGACCTAAACTACCTAATTCCCCGGGGGACTAGAGGTAGGGGCAAACATGCAGTACCCCTGTACTTGGAGGATCATGGGACTTAGTGAGTAAGGTTCAAGTACGTTAATTGGGGGTTACAAGTATAGTTACCTTACTTATAACCCTAATTACTAAGTCCCATGGTCAATTAAGTATGGGCCGTCTTCTCAGGCTTGATGTATGCTGTAACCAACCCACATACGAGAAGCGCCAGGGAAAGAGGGGCGACTGCGAGGCGGACTTCGAAGTGCTGCAGGCTGGGCACTCCTCAGCCCAAAGCCTACCTTTGGTTAGTAGGGAATGGAAGAAGGGGGTATAATTATGGCTACTATTACTACCATTCTTCCATTCCCTACTAACCAAAGGTAAGAAAGCCGACTGCTGCATCCCAACCGTCGGATCAATCTGCGGCCCAGCGGCGTGGCGCATGTGGAAGCGCGGCCTTCCGGCTAACTCGGGTCCTCCCCCCTTGGGGGGGTGGAGGACCTCGGGTGACCGAGCTCGGCGGCGAACGGGCGGTGAACGTGGCATGTCGTGACCAGATGTATGTGCTCAGTTTAGATCAGACCTCGTGGGCAATCCAACCGCCTGCTGGGTCGTCCACCGGCTTCAAAAAAGGGGGGACGACCCCGAGCCGAAGGCGAGCGCGGCCTTCTGAGACTTAGACGCCCGATCGGGCCCCGAGCCCACGGGTGCGTGATCGCGGCCTTGCCTGTGGGGCCACGAAAGTCGGACGATTCTGGCATCACCTCTCGCTATGGCCCAAAAGGCGACCCGCTGCGAGGCATTGCTGATAATGGAAGGCCCGGCTCATGCGATACCCGGCGGGTACGGCGCACTCCGCCTAGCTGCGATTATTGGGATGGAGAGGGTCAGAAAGTCTGACGAAGAAAGTCCGAACCCGAAAGCACTGAAAGCCTAAATCAATTTGACAGAATCCAAACGTCGACGCCTAGATGAAAGGATGCAAGGTCAAGCGTGGTTGTTTAGGATGGAGGAAATTACGGCTCGACAGAGTTCAATTCTTCTAGGGTCTTGTAAGGTTCGGGGCTGTTCTTAGTAGCCTCCAAAAGGGCCCCAAATGTACTCTCAACAGCATTCCTGAGGAGCCATCTACCATCCCAAACCCGGTGCAACAACCCTGCTTCGTATGTTCCGCTTTAAAGCACCACCAACAAACCGGCGAAGCCGATAGAGCCAGGCTAACACAACAACCTACCAAACTTGTACAAACCCTCTTGGACCCTTCCAGAACTGTTGCATAGCCGATAGGCCGAGAGATTAGAAGGCCGACCTATTTGCGAAGCCTCTCTAAGTCCGATAGATCCCCAAACCCCTTGCCATAGGTTTTTATGGAGCTTTCAATGAATTCCAGAGGGGTTGATATGGCTAAGCCGTATCTCGTGATGCTATTCCTGAGGGTCCGTAAGACATTTGATCATATTGCTAACGCGCCTGCACTAGACTCACAGACCACAGAGCTGGGAACTCCAAGCATCTTAACCCCTGAACCCTTAACTTCCAAGCCCTGCTCACGATTGGGATTCAGGCTCTGGGTGTCCCGACAGACCCAAATTCCCTAATCCCTGCATCATCTCAACCCTCAGCCCTAAACCCCAATTTTTCAGACCATCCTAGACCCTGTTTAACAGGGCACCTCGGTTGTAGCTAGAGATCGGTAGGCGCGGACGAGCGCTGTGGCCTCTTCTCCAAGGGTTCGTCTTGTCGTCAATTTAGTGCTTACGGATCCAGCCCAGTTACCTTCCTCTGGCCCTATCGGGATTTCTTGCTGTAAATATGTAGCCCACCTTGTAGGTATCTGGACTGCAAGCAAAATGTGTCGTGAAATTTAGGTAGGGTTGACAAGATCCTGGTCCTAATGGCGTTCCAAGTCTTGCTTTGGCTCCGGGAATGCGGGGCTGCGGCTTTTACAAGTTCAGGGGTCAGCGGCCCCCAGTGCCACGCAAAGCACAGCAGAAACCCCAGGGTTTGATTTCTCTCACTCTTCAGTCACGGGCCCTAAACGCTGGAATTAGGGCTTGGAGCTGCTAGCTGACAAGAAGCTGGAGGTTTCTTAAAGCGTAGAGCTTTCTAGGGCTTTCTAAATTAGCCGTTTGATGCCTCTAAACACTTTCGTGAATAAGATCCTCTTAAGCCCAATAAGAAACATGAAATATCTCAAAACCCGACCTAGCTTGATATGGGAGTTTCCGAATATAGGGGACCCTAATATAGTATTTTAAGTAGAAGGACCCTTATTACACGGACCCCAAAATAAGGTACCACTATTTTCAGAAACTCCCATATTCTGTACAGGGCTTGATAGGGTTTCTATACCACCCCCTTAAAAACCATAATAAAAATGCTATTTTCCATATTCTTTTGGGTTTTATATGAACAAAAATACTTCCTAAGGAGACTATAGTTTTGGGTTCCGGGGCTCAAGGCCCAGGCCTGCCGGGGCCGAGGCCTGGTGGGTCATGGTTCGCTTTCATGGGACCGTTCTGGGTATGACCCCCGCGAGTATCATGAAGTCTAACATGAGGACCCTACTTCAAGGATCATGGGACTTAGTAACTAGGGTTATAAGTAAGGTAACTATACTTATAACCCCAATTGCGGTACTTATCACCCATGATCCTCCAAGTAGTATCTTCAATAGAGTATGGGCGCGGGGTCGATTCTGGGATGTTTTTGCTACCGGCTAGATCAACCATAGTCTTGACCTTGCGAGAAACCTCTGTGACTTCGCTTGGTATACCGAGCAAGGACAATAATACAGGGGCCTTAATAATTAGACTAGGGTTTTGGGGCCCATGATACTTTAATTATAATAAGGAACCCCCAACACAGTGTAGGTAGTTATTTCGGCCTCTATAGTAGCCCTCCATCGTGCAGCCTTCCTGCTGCTCCGAAACTTCTTCCGGGAGCTTCAGGGCCTTTCGGGCGACCTGCCAGTGACCATCTCCGACTCGCTGAGAAAAGCCGCTTTGAAGAACAGCTCATTGGCCAGAAACTCCTTTGCACCGGCGATCTCATCGGCAAACTTCTCATCGGCCTTTCATGCCATAGAAGCGCAATTGCCCCTGCAACTTGTACCAACCTCAAAGCCAGGAACGTACTAACAGATTATCGTAGATTTCCTGATTGGCAAACCCCGTCTGTCTACAGGTGCTACTCTTCGGATCGCGGTCATAACCTTTGGTAACTGTGGCAAGACGGTCTGTTCTAAGGGGGTTTATTCCATGAGGGGTGTTCGCCATGAGCCCTAACCCAAGGAACCCAAAACTCCACACCTAAACCCCGCAACACTTTGTAACTTATAAGATACCTCCCGAACGCTATTCTACTTGTTAAAGCCCGAATCCTGACGTACTCTAAACACCCTTTGCAGGTCTTAACCGCCTAGTAACAACCCCATGACAAAAACAAAAAGCAGCTCCATGTATTGAAGCCCTGTGCTGTACGGCTTCCCGGGATGCCTCCACTGCGTCGGACAGCACGTGTCCCGCGGCATTACACCTTGTCGATAGGTTTTAAGCCGTTTTGACCAGGGTTCAAGGCCTTCCAGCTTTGCCAGAATTTCATGCCCGCTTATCTATGTCATGGCTTATTGGGTTGTCGGTAGCTTAAGGCATACATGAAGTACAATGATCAGCGACCCAGGAGCTCAGAATGTCGATGTCGGGCCGTGGGCTTACCTTAACCTCGAATAACCTACCGCTTTAAGAACTTATATTTAAGGAAACCATACTAAGGAAACCTAAAAAAATACGGAAACCTAAAAGAACTCATACTTAAGGAAGCCATATTAAGGAAACCTAAAAAGGAAGCTTTCTTAGGATCTTGGGCTCATGTGCTGCTCTTCCCCTTCTCTTCACAGATCTCTGACTCCAGATATAGCGTGTGTCGTCAGTTAAAGCCATGCCTGCTCTTGAAAACCTCGAAGGTAAAATATTATAGAAAACTGTACTGGGCTAATTTAAGAAACCAGGGAGAAAAAGTATAAACTTCTATTTCATAATGGCTCCTTTAAGAACGAAGTGTTAAAGTAAGTATGGTACTCCAAAGCCAAGTATACATCTGGTACTTGGAGGTTCATGGGTAGTTATAAGTGGAGTTATAAGTCACCTAGTATGGGTTGTAAGTATAGTTACCCTACTTATAACCCTACTTATAACTGCCCATGAACCTCCAAGTAGAGCCTCCAACACCAATTCATGGAATCACGGATGTGGGCTGTAGGGCTCCGCAGCTTCAGGGCCGCAGCGAAGACCTGGAAACCCCAAACGCCAGAGAAAGGCCAAAACTCTAAGCCCGAAATCTTCACTAAAGCCCCGAACCTGCAACAAAACCCAAACCTTTAACCATACACTTATGGGCCCTATCCCTAAACCCTAAGCTCTAAACCTATAACCGCCTCAGAGGGTGCTGACGACACAGCCCGGGTTTCGCTAGGGTTGGGCGCGCAGCGGGTTGCTTGCAATTCTCCCAGAGCTCAATTACCCGTACGGTGGGCTACTGGGCATAAGGCTTCTGAAACAGGGCCTACGGAACACGGACTGCCGAGGGCCCATCCGTAAACTAAACATTGATGCCGGTTTTGGGGTTTTAACCTTCGGGGTTGAGGGTTGAAGTTGCTAGGGTCCTGGTTGGCGTTAGGGGGTGGCTGTGTCGAATTTAGTGTCTTGGGTCAGGGGTTGGGCTTGCGGGGGCAAAGGCTGCCGGCTGTCTTGCCACCGGTCTTGTTGGTTTTTGCTGCGAGGCTCCCTCACCCTTAACAGGCGCAGACATCTCAAACCCTTTCACTCTACACCCCAAAATGCCTTAACACATCAAGAACCTATAAGCCCTGAGCCCTGAATGCTGCCAGGGCACTCTACCGCCTCCACATCGAGTGGTGAAACGTCAGCAGAGCGAACGGAGTTCGCCACGAGCTCCTTTTGGAGTCTTCGAGCATTCCAAGGACCACAGTTTTCCTTAAACTGGGGCATGTGAATTTAAGTCCTAAGTCTAACGAACGATCCTTGAACCCTAAGCTCCGCTCTTGTAGTTGAGGAATATGCAGTACCCCAAATCCTTGTGAGTACTGATTAAGGAAGTCGCTTTAACTCATGCACCGGACCAATCCATCTGCTAATGCTTCTACGGAACGCTATCCCATTTAATTACGGGATAAGATAGGGGGCTGAGTATTTACCAATACTATGCTGGGGGTTCCCTTTTTTGATTATAGTATAATATACTTCAAAACCCTATTTGTTTCCTTATTCAGGCCCCTAAATCACACTGTGCTTCCTGGCTACCAAGGCTTAGCCATCCAGATACCTTTCTTGGTAACTTACGTGCCCCGAACTTAAGAGCAGAGCGGACCCTCTTGGCAACAGAGGTGTTTAAGATAGGGGCCTAAATAATTAGAATAGGGCTTTGGGGCCCAGTATACTATAGTTAGAATAAGGAACCCGCAAATTGTATAGGTAATGTTTAAGGCCCCTAGTGGACAACGGTTGGATTGTAGACGCCCATATCTCATAGGCCTCATAGGCAAGACATCGGGCCTAATTGGGGTCGTGAGGCTCGGCCCTTCTGTACTTTGACCGCGACAAACTGGAGGTACCGAGGTACCACGAGCGCGCCGCGGCATGTTGTTCTCAGTGGCGACCCCCTTATCTTAGTTACTGAGTTCATAAGCCCCCAAAAGTGTACACCTTCAGTTTTATAGTGGGTAACATTTCCACAAATAGTGCAAAGTGTATCCACTCAGCTACGAAGGTATCGGGGTAGACGACCCGGGGTGAGCGGATGTTGGCTCTTGGCCCGGCCGATGGTCCAGCGGCGTCGCGGGCGCTATCTCCACCCTGAGAGGGGGTGAGGACCCCGGGAAGGGATCGAGGCCAAGGCATGGCCTGTAAGCCCACCCCAGTGCGTGGATTCCTTACTCCATTTCAGACGTAGGCCCTGACAATGACGCACAACGCGGCATTGCTCAGAATGTGGGGTCTGCTTGGGCCAGAATTGACCTTCTTAGACCCAGCACCACCAATGTCGGCCGATTCTGGGATTTCCTTCGACCGCGATCTCGGAGGTTGGCGTTCCAGGGCTTTCATTTGAGCTAAGGGTCTCGGATTCAGGTTTTCCGGTTTACGGCCTTTGGCTGTAGGTTTAGGGATTGGACGAGCTTTGAGCTTGAGGGCTTTGGGGTACAGATGCTTCGGATTAGGAGACTTTGCAAAACTTATCAAGAGCTGGTGTCCTCAACCCCATCCTATACCCCCCCTTAGAACCATAATAATAACTCTATATATTTTTTTATCATTCTCTTGGGGTTTATATGAACAAAATAAGAAAATAATTCCTAAGGAGAAAGGAGCATTGTGATTCGGGTCCAGGCCTTAAGGTCGGGCCGATGCTCCCTGCGCCCTCCTTACCCAAAGACTTAGCGCCCTGAGCCCTCAACCCCTGAACCCTATATACCCCAAAACACCTAAACCAAAGGGGAAAAAGGAAGGACCCTTAATGGGACCCCTACCCTACAATGGGCTATATAATGGATATATAATAGCTATATTAAGGGTATTTGCCTAGGGGTCCTTATTAAGGGTCCCTCCTTTTACCCTTGGACTAAACGAAAAACCCTAAACCCTAAACCCCTCAACCCAAAGCTTTAACGCCCTAAGCCCTAAACCCCATAAGCCCTAAAACCCTAAATCCCAAAACCACCCAAAGCCTTAACGCCCTAAACCCATAAACCCTTATAAACACCAAAACGCCTAAACCCTAAAACCCAAAGCCTTAACGCCCTAAACCCCTAAACCCGATAAACACCAAAACGCCTAAACCATAAAACGCCTAAAACCCAAACCCTATAAGCCCTAAAACCCTCCTAAACCCTAAACCCCTAAACCCTATAAACCCTAAAACGCCTAAAACCCAACGCCTCAACGCCCTGAGCCCCCGATCCCATCCGATCCGACCGAAGCCAAACGACCCTGAACCCCGCAATCCTCCAGTTTAGGGGCCTTAGCCTAATGCTTAGAACGGGCTTTGGAGCATATTGCAGTATGATTTTAAGAAGGAGCCCTAGGAATAAGCTTGGCACGTATTCAAGCATTTATTCAGGCTTCTTTATATTAAACCATAAGCCGCGAACGCCGAACCCCCGAACCCTATGAACTGTACCTGATACATGGCGCCGCTAGGGGCGGACAGGGATGCGGAGCGACCTAGAGAAGCGACAGGATTCTGAGAGTTTTGGCTTTTCTTGAGGGGTTTGTTATGTGGTTTGAGTCCCTAAACCCTACATCCTAAATCCTAACCACCGAAAAAATTGGATGGTTGTGGTTTGGGCTTTGGGATTTTCTTTGTTCATAAGGACCCTTAGGGGGTAGGGGGACAGGGGACTATACTTGCTTAAATAGGGCTTCTTTTTGGTCCTTTTTGGGGCATTACGGCACCTACCCGCCCTCCGCCTACCCCCCTAAGCGACCCTATGATGTGTTGAGGGCGTTGGGCTCGGATGGTCGAGGGTTCGCGACTTGCGGCCCTGCTTTGGATCCGAGTTCTGGGCTTGCTCTCGTGGCTTGTAGTTTCGGGGCCCTTACATTTTTTGAAAGGGTACTTGTACAGGAACCATAAGGGATAATTTCAAAGCTGCCCAAAAGTGCCACCTAGTAGTTGGTCGTCATTCGAAGAATCCCAAGCCCGTGGCATCTTTCTGGTTTTGGTCCGTCACCGGCTCGCAGATTGAGTTGCTGGGACACCAATTTGCGGGTGCTTGCATAGCGGCACGGGAAGTGGAGGTTGCGTGGGACTTGTAAGCGTGTGGAGTATAGGATTAGTGCTGCAGTTGTGGTTGCGAGTTTAGAGTTTGGCTTGCGGCCTGAAGGATGTTAGTGCCGAAGATATCAGTAGGGATCGAGCACGAGATTCTGACCGAAAGCTTGGAACTTCGATTTGAAGCCTGAGGTTACTACTTGGAAAGCAGATATACGAACAAGTCTTACAAAACCTTAGAGGTAGTGAGGCATTGGTTTAGATAATTCCACTATCCCCATTGTCCACACGGGACCAGAAATGGTGCTGCTGCAGCAGCCCTCTAACACGCTGCACAGACTTGCAGACTCCATGGAATCCTGAAAGGCTAGCTTTCAATCTTGATATAATACTTTGTTTTCACACTGCGGTCCCACTGGTTCATTTTTAGCCATTTAACCAGTACAAAAACTATTACAAGTACTAGTGCTGGTTCCACTACTATTCTTATGACTTGCTGCAAGGCGGAATAAGTCCAAGCCGAGGTGCCGTTGTTGTTGATGTAGCCACCGCTTGCCAGCCCGATAATCGGAGGATCCTGGATCAAGGAACAAAAGGATAAGGGATTTACAGGCCTTTTGAGGTTTCAAATGGGGTTCCATCAGGTTTATAACGATTGCGAATTGAAAGGGACGTATAAGGAGGGTTTAGGCTGTGGCGGTTGGGTCTTACGGGCGAAGCCAAACAAAAAAGGCCCAATGTTGCTTACCGCTAGAACCATGCTTGCTTGAGCCATCGCTATCATCACCATCACCAAAACCATGAGCAGCAGGATCACCCTATTCTTTTATAATTACAAAACGGGCTTTGGGGTATATTATGCCGTAATTGTCATAAGGAGGCCCCACAATACTATTGGCATGTGTTGGTACTGTTTGGGCCCCATTCCATTCTGTCAAGGCAATTCCAGCAGCGGCCGGAGATCCCTCCCCTCACGGGAGTCCTCGTCGATGACCCTCTTGCCATCCACCTCCTGGCAGCACATTTGCTTTTCCATCAGAAAATCCAAAATTCCATACTCATGCTGTTCGTATGTATCTCAGAGAATATGTAGACAGTATACATGGATACCGCTGTATACCCAAATCGAAAGCATCGTATGGAACACATCTGCCCGGACCCCAATCCCAGAACCCGAAAGCCTACGAACGCAGCTTTGGGCAGACTTTCTTAGAAGGGGCCCCCACCCTGTAATAGTGGTATAATAAGAATACAATAGGGCCCTAATATAATCCTTATTGTCACTATTACAGGGTGGGGGCAGCTTCTAAACTATTGTCAACATTCAATCTTAACCAAGGAGCTTTCAAGATATCATGCTTAGTTCAATATATGTTGAGTTCAAATCTTTTACGGCGTTGCTAAGGGCTCCCGATATGGTCTTATCGGGCGTTGTTAAGCTTGTGTTGATATGTTGTATGCTTCTGTCAGGGGGTTGCTGGGGTCGCACTTGGCGTTTAACGGAGCTTGCGGAGTATGCTGAAGACTTGCAGCTCAGCATTTGCGGTGAAGGAATTTCGGAATTCAGGATTAACGGGCCGGTGGTGTATGGATAAGAATCTTCGGGTTTTCGGGCGTCTGTGGTTTTAACTTAAGGAGTTGGGGCTCAGGGCCTGAGACTTGGGCTGTCGAGAGATGTAGCTTAGCTTAGGGTGTGGGGAAGTGTTTTGGCGGCTGGAAACAAGGACAGGACAGGTTGGGTTTCCAGGGCTCTGCAAGGTCCAGGGAAGGGCTTTAGGATGCTTTGGTTCACGGTTAAGGCTTGGGATTTCGGGCTGAGGGTTTGGAGGGTCTCGGGCTTGTAGGGCTCAAGCTCAGAGCCTGGGGTTTAGGGCCAGGGTTGTATGGCTTTGGCCGAAACTTCTGGGCTTAAGCCTCACGTTCCGCTCGTGCAGTTCGTTAGGGACTGTCAGGGAACGAACCCCCCGCTCCCGCCCCCTCTGCCATGGTAAAGAGGCTTAGGCTTGAGGGTTAAGCCCGAAAAAAACCTCGAAAGCCACTAACAGCATCCTCGAAGCCTGAAACTCCGCGTGAAAGAATGGCCTGTCAAAACCTCTTAAACACTGGTCTTGACACCCGAAACTCTTAAACATGAGCAGGGAAACCCTAATGTAGTAATTAGTAGGATCCTTATTATAAGGACCTGGGAGGTTTAGGAGTGGCGTACCTAGCAAGCCTTCATGACAAAGCCGAAACCCCTGAAGCCAAGCCCTGAACCAGGGAATAGCACAAACCCTTTAAGCTGTCAACCGCGCAGCCCCTAAACCCTAGCCGCAACCTTAAGTCCCGAAAGCGCTGAACCTCAACTCCCCCCGAAAACTTGAATCTCATAAAGCCCAAGGCCCGAAACCGTAAACCTGAAAGCCCTGAACCCTAAACCTTGAAGCCTAAACCCTAAACTGGCGCTGTGCACCTTCTGGGTTGGCCTTTAAACACCCTGAAAAATATTTACATATAGGGTCCCTTATAAACCCAAATAAGGAAAACACAAAATGTCCCAAAATCCAACCTAGCCTTCTTCAGAGGGTTCACGTAGAGGCCCGTGAAGCCTTCGCCTCCGCAAGAGGAAGACTAGGATACCCAGTAACCTAAGAATAAAAAGGCCTCTCTTCTTGGTATTGGGTAACTTTATAAGGAACCTAGGGTACTACTGGGCATCCTAGAAGAGCTCTGAAGGCAGTTTCCCTAATTTCTAGGAGCCCAGTTGCCCATACAAAGGGCACCTTCAAGGGCTCCTTTCAATCCGAGTGCTGTAATGAGAGGATCATGAGCTTATAACGACTAAACTTCTAAATACCAAAACCCAGATTAAAGTACTTAGTACCTTACTTACGAAGTGCCCTGATCCTCCAAGTGACTGCTATAATGGGCTATATAATGGGTATATAATGGCTCTTTTATGGGTATATACCTAGGGGTCCTTATTAAGGGTACCTCCTTTTACCCTTGGATTAAAGAAAAGGTCCCCGTGGAGCCCAGGTATAGATCCCTTAATGAAGAAAGGACGGAAAGGCTTCGGCTTCGGGTCCCAGGGCTGAGGGTTTCGGATTTTTAGCCCAAAAAGTTGGAATATGGTTTCAGGGTAGGATACCCGATAATTTACCATATAGGGCTTAGGATAATCATATTCCAACTTTCTGGCTTTTACTTCAGGGGTTCCTTGAAGGGGTCTAGAGGGTTTGGGGATTTAGGGTTTTAGGGTTTAGGGTGTGGGCTTCGGGGCTTAGGTTTGAGGGTCTGTGGGGCTTTAGGGTTTCGGGTCTGGGTTTTAGTGTTGAGGGTTTAGGGGCTTAGGGCTGAGGGTTTAGGGCTGTACGGTTGAGGCTGAAGACAGCGGTCGCACACAGCCTTCTGTCTATATGATCGATCTCGTCGGCACAATACTCCATGAGTTCCCTTGCAGCATCTCCGTTCTAAGCTGGCTTGAGTGAACGAAGGACCTGATTGTCGCCCTGACCGGAGCTTCCTACACCCATCTTCCAGCGAGCCGGGAGGGGAATTTTGTCATGGTGATGAGCATCCAAACTTTGGGGCACAAGGCCCCTTCGCAACCCCTCCAGTGTGACTCAGCTAGACGAGCTTGAACTTGAGCTTATAATGGAACACGGTGTTCTCATCCGGCTTGAGGGTTCAGGGCTGCAGGGGTTGCGGATTTACTGCAGTGCTAGTGCTGAGAGATTAGTGCCTGCACTTTCTCTAGAGTTGCCTTTTCTTTGCTGGTTTCGTGATGGGTGGGCTTCAGGGCTTCACTAAACCTAGTGTGGGGTCCTGAAAAACCAGGGTTGGGGGCGTACAGCCGGCGGATGAGCAATGGCACGGGTCGTCTGTTTGATGAATGCTAATCATTCACACCCCAGTATGGAGTTCCCTAGCTCGTTCTTGCAATCCTGGCCCTGTTGGTAAACGGCTACCCAGTCAGGCTAGGTCCGTACACCAAGCCCTGAGATGTTCGACACTGAACCTGAACCCTAAGCCACAAACACCAAATCCCAAACCTTTCTTCCGGAGTTCCCTCGTTGTAATCCCGGCGCTATTAGTACCTCGACAGTGATAAACGGCTACCCAATCAGGCTAGGTCTGTACCGGGTTTCTCTACGCCCCGAGGAGTTCGAGCCCGAACCCTGAGCCACATACACTGAATCCAAACATTCAAGCTCAAGCCCTAAACACTTCTATATATATATATATATATATATATATGTTTCCCACTATCAGCTCAGTTAGCTACATGTGGCTTAAAGCCTTCCGAAAGCTCGACAAAACCCTTCTAACTCCGGAAGATTCAATCCTGCAAGGCCCCTCTAGAACCCTTCCGAAAGGGGTTGGGGCTCTGGGTCAGGAGTTTAAAGCTTCACTTTTGGGACAAACCTTGAAACCCCTCAAGATCCGGAAAAAGGAGCCCTGTACAGAACGCCTTATCAAGCGCCACGCCCCTGCGCACCTCGGATGTATCCATCGGCATAGGTGTCGAAGCTCAGGCAGCCTCGATTGGGATTCCAAAACTATGGCTTTGTGAAGGCTTTGTTGTCTACAACTAAGGTTCTCTACCAATTCTAAAGGGCTTTAAAAAACTAAGGCTTTAAACCGTTACATATATATATATATATATATATATATATGGGTTTCTGGACGGCCGCCCTGCATGAGGTTTGGGGGGCTCCGAGGAACTCCGGAACCCGATGGCTCGGTGCTTTGGCGGCTTCCCGGCTTCAGGGCTGCAGGTTGACTTTGCAGCATTTACGGCGAGCTAGACAAGCGCAACAGAGTCCTTTGGGAGTTTACAAAAGTAGGGGACCCTAGTATAGTACCTAAATAGTAGGATTCGTAGAAATAAGGACCCGAAAATCAGGTACCCCCAATTGTCGGAAACTCCCATATACGGTTCCTGCCAGGAAAGCTGCTTTGTTTGAAACGGCCGCTGAAGACTATGCTGTCTGTCGGACGTTAGGTTTGGGGGTTCTGCTGGGAAAACGGCATGGCTGGGTCGGGGTTGTGTTTTATTGCGGGGTGTCGTCCTATGAAAAATCCGACCTACTCCTAACCCCAAGAGATTTGATGCTTAACTTCGGCTTCGCGGTTGACGGCCCGAAGGCTTTGTATGACTTTCGTGTGCGTCCCTGCCGAATGCCTCGACCCCCCCGCCCCGCAAGCCCAAAACTTTCGAAGCCCAATGGGAGATAACTTCTGAACCCCAAAACCCTTCACGATTCAAGGACCCAGTTCCAGTAAAGCCTCCTCCACAACCCAGACTCTGCGATCCAAGCGGCGCCCCTTCTTGGACAAAACGTTCGCCCAGCTCAGCTGCCTCGGACAGCTTGGTGGGCGTCGTTGCTTTTTTGGGGGGGCTTTTAAATCATTCCTATACAATGCACTACAAGGGTTTCCATTAGGGTTCAAGGGGTTTAGGGTTTTGAGGACGTTGTTTCAGTTGGAATTTACACTGGGTTTTCTGGCTGTCCGGCCTTATTCTTGCGTTGGGAGATTCATCGTAAACTTGAAGCCCTTGTACTCAGGCGTTTACAAGTAGGTCGTTCAAGCTCATCAACCAGGTTTGTGCGTGCGGTGGGGGCGTGTCAGAACTGTGGATGCCACAGTTCAGCCTGCTACATTCCACCGTACTCCCCACATACTTAAACTGTAACCCCCTATAATCATTAAGACCAAGTTTTTCTACAGAGACTTAGATACATTATATGTGCACATACCTCGCATCCGCGCCTTGCTGACTGAGGCTACAATTGGCTAACGGGCCCGACCCCGAAGATTTTCAGCGTTCCCAAGATTTGGGAATTTGGGTGAAAGTCTGGTAAGGGTATGCGGTTTGGAATTTATAGTTTCTGCACTGGTTTTGGGCTTCTTCTGAAAAACCCAAAACCAATAAATCTGGCACCCCCCTTGCATTTGGATAAAAAACCTGCGTAAGTCTACTGAACGTCCTTCGTACGAGCTTATGAGCTGTGCCCATCATACTAACCCACGACTCTTAACCCGAAAAGCAAAAACTCCAACAAATTTCATGCAAATGCTGTAACAGCCTAAACTACCACCCCCGTGAGTGGATCTGTCCTCTTGGCATGGAGGTTCCACATGCCGCGACAAATGTTTTCTTCAGATTGCAACCTACTTTCGCACAGGAGCTAAGTTTCAACACCAGCCCGGCTACCGCTATGCGCTGTAACCAACTCCTGCGCCTGCCAGTAAATAAGGCAACACAAGCAACGATCTCTTGAGGCCCCGAGCATCTACGCATCATGTGACGCAATGCCGCTGGCAAAAATTAATGCGTGGCAAACGCGGGAAGAAGCCGACAAAACAAACGTTTCAGATTTCAGAGAATGTGGCTTGAAGGAAGGCTTTCTGCCTACCTGAGTTTGGCAGGCAACAGGGCATAGGGAACCTAGAGAATAATCGTGTGAACACGGAAATAGTTGGAGAAGGCTGTGTTGTGGTTTTGTACCCTTAGCAGCAAGGGAGACCCGACGTTACATATAATTACAGACAAAATCGCATGTCGACATAAACCGTAGTTTGTTCTGCGGAGTCGTTCCCTGCGGCTCCCGCCATTGAAATCTCAACTCAAGGCGAGAACATGCAACGTTCGCTTTGGCAGTCCGAAAGCAGGCCCAAGACCAGGAAGCAGGCAGAAACCACGCAGAGACCCGTCATGCTGTGCGCCCTACAAAAAGCCGCCCTTATAGAAACATTAGAGACCCATGGTTCGGAAATACGTAGTTGGCGGCGGTCCATGCGTCGAGGTTGAGCGCCAGCGCCTGGGCACCCTCATCGCGGCGCTGACGTATGTCAGGCGCAGATCAGGATCCGTGGCTCCAATGTCATACTAGGATGCCCAGTAACCTATAGGAGTGAAAAGCGCTCCCTTTTTGGTATTGGGTAACTGTACAAGGAACCTAGGACTACAAAAAGGGAACAAGAGTACTACGGCTACGGGGCATCCTGTCATAAACGAATAATAGTCTGAGCTACTCGTTTTCGTGCAACATTTCGGCATTAACTTTGAACCCCACAACCCTCGTGCCCTAAAGAAGCAAACCCTGCACAAAGCCAACAACCCCAAAACCGCTCTTGCTCTCAAACACTCAAGCCCTATATCTAAAGATCCTGAAACCAGATTTCAGACGACACAACCCTACAAGCCCTGGACTTAAGTGTAAGCTATAAGTACATTAGGGCCCAAAAGTGATTTCAAGGAACATTATTAGGAACTACTCCGGCAAACTATCGTAGCCCTACAACGCGAAACAGAACCCTTGTGGAACCCTTGTAGATCCCTTTCGGAACCCTCTAAAGGCTCCTGTTGAAACTAAAAACACAACCCGAAAATCCGATGTAGGAGCCTGAAGCTCCAAGGCTTCAAATAGCCCGAAGTACGGTTGATGATCTCAACCCTACATTACATTAATGACACCGGGGAATTGCGTATGGTTTATAACCTTGCTACGGGTAATAATGCAGGATTTACACCATCAGCCGTAGTATGTATAGACTATAGACTCCCAAGCAGCATCTACCAATTATTTGTATACTTGGAGTCTCGGGGAAACAAAGGGGAAAAGGAGGGACCCTTAATGGGGACCCTACCCTATAATGGGCTATACAATGGGTATATAATCGCTATAGTAAGGGTATGTACCTAGGGGTCCTTATTTAGGGTCCCTCCTTTTTCCCGTGGAGGGACCCAACCTTCGAAATCCTATTTTGCATCCCTCGTAATCATCCTGATAGGAACCCTACAAGGAACCGTTGCAGTAACCCTTACATTAGCCCTTGTACTAGCCCCTAAAAAAGGATCCCACAATTTAACAACCCTTCAATTTAATGGGACCCTTATACATAACTGTTGATGATATGAACCCGGCATTGCCCATAACCATTTAAGGATTATTCCACAGTTAGGGTCGCTAAGGTCATGCCGGAGTTATATCATCAACCGCAGTAACCCCTCAAAGGAACCCCAAATAGAATCCAAGAGGGCAAGGCGCAAGAGCCCCTGCGGGTGAACGTTGCAGTCCACGCCCAGCGCCACGGAGCCAACACACTGAGCCTTGCAAAGATGCCCGGTCTCAGGATTTTTGTCGGGTTTTGTGTGCTTTTGGGGGGCTGGGGGCTTAGGCTTTTTGTGGGGTTTGGGCCCCTTTGTGGAGTTTAAGGTTTCGGGGCTCAGGGCGTTAAGGCCCTACAGGGCTGCACATCTTCAGAGCTCTCGGAAGCTGGAAAGCATCAATCCCGGAACCAGATCCTTCAAGGCTTCATGCTGCAGTGTCTTGTAGCGCTTCGTCAAGACTCCGATATTGCGGATCATAAGATTCGGAACAAAGAGGTCCTGTCCCGAAACGCAAACCCTGAAAGCCCACATCCGAAGCACCAAATCTTTTGAAACCTAAACACGAAACCCTTAACCCTAAAGCCTCAACCGTAAACCCGTAAACCCCTAAACCCTAGCTCCCCAAACCCCCTAAACTCCTGAACTCCCAAAGCACCCTTCAAGCAAACTCCCTAAACTCGCCAAAACCCCCTCGAACCCAATACACTAGAATTCTAATCAGGAATCCCCCAAAATAGTATAGTTAATTATTTAAGCCCCTATATTCAACTCGCCCAAACTCCCCTCGAAGCCTTGTCCGGCTGGATGGAGTCCACCGCAAGGTTGAAGGCGATAAGCGACGCGGCGCCTCGCCCCAACTGATATTGGGGTAGTTGTCAAAATTAGGGCCCCTGTTTAAGGGATCCTTGCAAGGGTTCCATAAGGGATCGGGTTTTACATAATATGGGCGTAATATGGGCCTCGGAATTGTGGCCCCTTTTTTTGGGTACCCTAAATATTAGGCGGCGTATTATTTAAGGACCCAAAAAGGGACCATAATTTTGACAACTACCCATATGGCTCCCCGGGGCCTGGGGCATGCCCGGGGTTCGTGTAAGGCTGCGGAAGTTTAGGAGTTCTTATAGGGGTGCTACCACAAGGGTTTTTGCGCAGTTTTGGGCGAAAAGAGACTCTTGAGGGGTCAATGTCATGGTCGTTGTGTGCGCAAGTGGTCTGATAAAAGGGACTGAGACCAATTTCCGTCAGCAGGAACGGCTGGATCCGTAAACCCGATCGCCAAATCCCTTGTCTGTGCATGCCCTTGGAGGATGATTTCTGGCTCGGAGGCAGCCAACGTGCAGAGTCTTGGAGACAAGGCTGTCAGTGGGTTTGGGGTAGCGCTTTTTTGGTTTCTGGCAAGAGGAAAACTTGCCCTGCTTAGAGACGTCACTGCAGGCGGGTGCTGATGGTCAAAACCCGGACACCTGCCCAGACCCCCGGGAGGATACAAAAAGTAGATCCCTTAATGGGGCTTCCTTCCTATAAAGTATCCTTAGTAGTATAGGGCCTCAAATTGGGGGAGCCACTTTCTTGGTCCTTCTGGGGTTCTGGGTGAGTACCCCCAAATCGCCCCAACCGGAACCAGGAATCCGGAGTTGCCTTCGAGATCGATGAAGAAGTTTGGGCCGTGGATGCCTGGGCCCCGAGCTCATGGAGGTTTCAGGGTTTAGGGGTTTAGGATTTGTTTAGGGTGTTAGGGTGAGGCTTTGAAGGGTTACGTTGCGGCTTGGGTTTGGTTCGGGGGCTTGGTCCCAAGATTTCGGGGTTGAGGGTTTTTTGGGGCAAGGCCTCGACAGGTTCGGGGCTTTTCTTGAAGGTTTCGGATTTGAGATTCGGGATCGATGCTGGCCTTCAAACCTCGACGAAGGCCCGCAAGGTGACCCATGTTGATGGCTTCTTCGACCTGGCCCTTCGAAGCATGAGACTCTCTGGGAAGCCATCTTTTCTGTGCAGGGAGGCTTCGCCTAACTCTACATCGCGACTCGCCCTCTTGAATGGCTCTGGGCTTTAAAGGCTGCGTCTTTGAGGTTCGGGGTTTAGGGTTTAGGGCGCCTGCCTGGCCAGGAATAGTGGTGTGCGGGAGGTAGTGGTGAGGGTTCGCGAGGCTCTTGCACGGAAGTTAACTTGACCTAGAAATCGGGACGTGCTAAAACCAGAATGCTGTCCTTCTTGCGGTACTTCAGGGACCTAAATCATTACCTACACTATTTTGGAGGTTCCTTATTATACGTATAGGTTCATGGGCCTTAAGGCACCTACATTACAGCACCCTTCTAGATTCCATATAGTAACCCTTATAGACCTCTTCAAAGGAACACTGTTCTAACTATTAAGGCCCCTAGATTAAGTCTAGGAAGGTCGTGAACCGGGACCTATTTAGGGTTTGATGGAGCGGTCAATAGCGAAAGCTCAGGAGTGTTCCTCTTGGCAAACCCCAAACCCAAACTCCCCAAACTCCGGTTTTCTCCGTACAACCCTTGCCGAACCCCCTGGAAACCGTAAACTGAGAATCACGTAGAGAATGCTCCTAAAGACCCATGCAACCTCGGCGTCACAGGAATCATGTGAAGCCCTTGTAGAAAGTTGTTCTCTTCCGAAGCCTTGTAGAATCGTGGATTTGGTTCAATCAGCGCAACCAGAACCCTCAGCCTTCGACCCTTCATGACTTTGGCGGGTTTTTGCTTTGGTCAGTTATAACTCGAGATATACTGGACTTGTTAAGTCGAGTTATCTCGGACTTATAAGTGGAGTTTTGGTGGACTTATAAGTCGGACTTATAAGTGACTTATAACTCCGAAATTGGGGATTTAGCGAGCACACATTTCGGGGTTTAGCGAGCACCATTTTGCGATCATGAGGGGTGCAAAAACTCGTCACGAGAAGATCATTTTGAGGTATATAGGCGGTCAGAAAATGGGTTTGGTGAGCACCATTTTGGGATCATGAGGGTCGCAAAAACTCGTCACGAGAAAACCATTTTGAGGTATATAGGTGGTCAGAAAATGCGTTTCGCGAGCACCATTTTGCGATCATGAGGGGTGCAAAAATTCATCACGAGCAAAGCATTTTGAGGTAGTGCGGCGGTCCAAAAAATCATGTAGAGGTGAAAAAAACAGTGTTCAGAATGCCAAAATCTGCCAGCATTCAAATTATATTGTATGACAAACGGCCACGCAGGGAAAGCCTGTAACAGATTATGTACAGGGTTGAACATGCATTTAGGGCTGGGGGTTAAACCAACTCCGTTCTACAATCTTTTTTCTTCTGCGTGCGGTTCCCCGTCGCACATGCTCTTTAAAGACTGCCGGGCGAAGCCACTGCCAAATGCGGAAGCGCACGCAGAGGGCGAGGCCGCCGGTAGACCTACATGCAAGATGCAGGGCGAGGCCACTGACATCTAGAGCTCGCTCACGTAGGCGCTGAGCCGCTGCCAAGAAGCTTTTGGGTTGTCCGAAAACTTGAACGATTTGTCCTTCTTGTCGCCCCAGATCTGGACCCTCCACGCATTCGTGGTCGTATCCGTGTAGATCTTGCAGGTCTGCAACCACACCGGCGGCTTCTTTGCCGTGCCCGGGTACTTGGGCAAAGCTGTCAGCACCTTCTTCCCCTTGCCCTTGCCTTTGCCTTTCCCATGGGCTGCAGCTGCAGCTGCCTGGCCGGCGCCCTTTCCTCCGGCAGGCTTTGTTTTGGCAGGTGTGCCCTTCGCCGGCTTCGACGGCTTGGGCGAAGGAGTCGTCTCGGACTCCTTTTCAGCCTTTGCTTTGGCAGGTGTGCTGCTTGGATTTCCCTTGTTGGCCGCGAGCTGGTCCTGGAGTTTGGAGACCATCTCGTCGACACTGCGCCGGGCCTTAGGCTCGGCAGGCGTTTTCAAGGGCGAAGCCTCTTCGTCCTCCTCCAAGTCCTCTGCTTGCTGTTCCTCGTCCTTCTCCGCCACCTTGTCCTTGTCTTTCAAAGCCAGCTGCTTGCTTGGGAGCTGGAGCTCAAGCGGCACGGAGGCTTCTCCGTCCTCCAACATCTTCCGCTTCTTCGTCATAGCGAAATTTCGCAGGCCAGGGACGCCGTTCCCTTCCATGGCATTCATCAAGAGGTTGCCAAGGTGCCCTAACAGGGCACCGTGCATGTTCTCCTGAAGGCACCTGTCCTTTTTGCCGAGCTGCTGCCCAAAGCCCTTTTGCTGCACACTGTTGTGCGTGCTCCTCGCAGCAAGGGCTTTGGTAAGCCCGTGCAAGGCCGGCAAGTCCATGGGACAAGCTGCCGGCGCTTGTTCCCCGTAGGCCGCCCTGAAGAGATCACTCGGGAGATCTCTCGCACTCTCCGGGTAGTCCTTGAGCCCACTGAACTTGGACTTGTCGAACGAAGACCTGCACAGGTCCTTCAGCTCCTGCAGCAGGTCTAAGGCCGTAACAAAATTCACATTCAGATGCTCCGGAGCACCATCGTGGCTGCCAAGCAGCAAGATGGCAGTGGCCTGCTTGAAGATTGCCTCCCTCGGATACACCAAGCCCAGGAGCTGTAGCCTGTTGGCCACCACCCTTTGCTTGCTCCTCGCGGAGGCTCTCGGGTTCATGATGGCATCCCACTCCGCTTGCAGCAGGAAGTTGTAGAAAAAACGATGCTGTTGCATCTTTTGGTTGCCCTTGAGCTCCCGCGTGGTGGCGGAACTCTCGGCGGAACCCGTCGCCTCGATTTTTTCCTCCAAACATCGCACGATGTCCTGCTTAAAGCCATCCGGCACATCTGCCGCGGACACCTTCTCCATGGCACGTGTGGCTTCTTGAAAGCTCACTGCTCCAGGCAGCTCCTCCAGCTGCTGCAGCAGTTTCTTTTCCATCTTCTCTGCACGGCCCTCGTCCATGCCAGGCGATTTCCGGAGCATCGCCACAAAGTCCAGCATGTCTCGCACATGCTTTTCGGCCATGGATGGAGCACCGATCCACGGCTGATGAGGCGATGCCTTCATGCAGCGAGAGCAAAACCTGACTTTGAGCCAACGGTTGCATCACACCATGCTGTGGCTTCCTGACAAGCAGCACGAAGTTATAGTTTATGCGTAGTAGTAGTAGTAGTAGTAGTAGTAGTAGTAGTAGTACCTGGGAAAAGTCAATGTGTCTCTAAGCTATTGATTTCGTAGCAAAATACATAGTGCAACCGGTTGCGTTTTGCATTTTTTCAGCATAACCACATGCCTGTCTACAGAGGCAGTAGTACTAGCAGTAATAGTATAGTACTAGAAGTAGAAGTAGCAGTAGTAGCAGCAGAAGCAACAAATTAGCTGGGAAAAGTCAATGTGTCTCTAAGCTATTGATTTCGTAGCAAAATACATAGTGCAACCGGTTGCGCTTTGCATTTTTTCAGCATAAGCACATGCCTGTCTACAGAGGCTACAGTGTCCAAGGCTTCAACAATCAACTGCGAAACTAGTTTCTGCAGTGTTGCCGCGATTTGTATGCAAGACTTTGTACTTTGTCTTGCATTAACTGGAACCCATTAAGGGTCCGATTTCTGGGATCTGGCTCTACGCAGACTCCTATTCCGGGCATGCTGCAGGCGAAGCCTTGCAGCATGCCAAACTACTGCAGGCAGAGCCTTGCAAACCCGTAGCCTGCTCAGTCCAGCTCGTTGAGGAAAAGCTCTTGCGGTCCTTGGTGCTGCAGGCCTTGGTCCTGCAGAGCAGCTGCTGGGCTTGCGGGCTCTTCCGGCCCTTGGTCCTCCTGCCCTTGGTCCTGCAGTGCGGGATCTGAAGACTTCATTGGGCATCTATAGGTTACCAATGACATTTACCCAACGGCTTTCGCAGCTCCTCATCTCTTTCACAGCAATGCTCTTGTGTTTGCGATAGGCTGGTCTCACGACATCCGGATCGCACTGTGCTTCATTGGCAATGGCGAAAGAAATCAAGCCACATATTCTCATTGAGGATGGGAGTGGAACCCTGCATCCCTCGATCTTCTCCAGCCAAGCATAAGCCACAGCCAGAACACCGTGAACCACGGACATCTTGAGCCCTGTCCTTGCAGCCATAGCCTTCAAAACATCGAGCTCCCCCGCCAAAGCCTGGAAAAAAAACTGATAATCAGCAGCAGCAGCAGAAGACTGTACTGGCATTGCTTGCCACCGGAAGAGATGGGTCATCTGCACAGAAGTCTTCTTCCGGAGCCTGAAATGAGGCACCTTCCGGTTGTGCTTGCCGATTCTGTTGCCCGGATCGCATTTCTTGCAGACATTAGCTGGGGGTCGGCGATAAGTTAGTCGAGGGCAGCTTTTGCATTTCCAGCCAGCCATGGCAGCAAAGATTTTCTACAGCTGCATTGGCTTTGGGATTGCGTTGGTACGATGCCTCTTTTTGTGATGGCCAAATCGGAAACCCCGAAGGAGAGATGGTAGGCCAAAGCCTGCAACAATGCTTTAGCTAGGCATGCTGAGCTACAGATTAGAATCCAACTCCGACTGATGCCCAGAACCCAAAGTGCAGCAGGTTGTGCATCGAGTTCTTCCATGCACAGAAACAGGTAAGCTTGTTTGTTTCCCAGACTGGATGGAGCACCGATCCACGGCTGATGAGGCGATGCCCTCATGCAGCGAGAGCAAAACCTGACTTTGAGCCAACGGTTGCATCACACCATGCTGTGGCTTCC